CGAGATAGTTCCTGTTTTCCTGTGTACTTAGAAGGCAGAAATTAAAATGTTTGGATATAATTTCAGACTTAAAAGTTGAAAGAGTGGTGCAGAGAACTCCTCAATACCCTTCAGGAATACATTTGATTCCTCAGATGTTGGTATTTTACTACATTCATTTTATCTTTTTTTCTCTTTACTTATACACACACATGACATTTTTTCTGAACCAGTTAAGAGTAAGTTGCATCATAGCAGCACTATTCACAATAGCAAAAAGGGGAAAACAACCCAAATGTCCACCAATGGATGATGGATAAAAAATGTTATATATATTCCATATATACCATGGAATATTATTTATTCTTGAAAAGGAATGGAACACTGATACATGTTGCAGCATAGATAAGCCTCAAACATGATGCTAAATGGGAGAAACCGGACATAAAAGGCCACATATTGTTTGATTCCATTCATATGAAGTGTAGATCCATAGAGACAGAAAGCAGACTAGAGGTTTCCAGGGGCTCGGAGGAGGGTGGCAAGGCTTAATGGGTACAGAGTCTCCTTTGTGGGTGATGAAAACGTTTTGAAATAGAGGTGATGTTTATACAACATTGTGAATATACTAAATGCCAATGAATTGTATCATTAAATGTACTAAATAGTATACTTTGAAATGGTTAATATTATGTGAATTCTACATATACACCATGGAATATTACTCAGCCATTAAAAAGAACTCATTTGAATCAGTTCTAATGAGATGGATGAAACTGGAGCCCATTATACAGAGCTAAGTAAGCCAGAAAGATAAAGACCATTACAGTATACTAACACATATATATGGACTTTAGAAAGATGGTAACGATAACCCTATATGCAAAACAGAAAAAGAGACTCAGATGTATAGAACAGACTTGTGGACTCTGGGAGAAGGCGAGGGTGGGATGTTTCAAGAGAACAGCATTGAAACATGTATATTATCTAGGGTGAAACAGATCACCAGCCCAGGTTGGGGGCATGAGACAAGTGCTCGGGCCTGGTGCACTGGGAAGACCCAGAGGGATCAGGTGGAGAGGGAGGTGGGAGGGGGGACCGGGATGGGGAATACGTGTAAATCCATGGCTAATTCATTTCAATGTATGACAAAAACCATTGCAATGATGTAAAGTAATTAGCCTCCAACTAATAAAAATAAATGGAAAAAAAAAAAAAAGAAAAAACAGTAAATTGCTGTTGCAATAGCTTTCTACCCCTAAATACTTCAGTTTTCTTATCCTAAAAGCTAGGATTTCTCTCACATAGCCATAATTCAATTACTAAAAGCTGGAAGTTAGCATTGAAACAATACTATAAATTATAGACCTTGTTTGTTAGTTGTGTCAATAATATTCTTAATAGCAAAAGTGCAAGGTGATGCTTTGCATTCAGGTGTCACATTGCTCTAGTTTTCTTTAATCTGAAACAATTCCTTAGTCTTTAAAATATTTCATAACATTGATAGTTTTGCAGAGTCCAGACTAGTTATTTTGTGAGTGGTCACTTTGAGTTTGTCTGATGTTTCCTCATGGTATATGAATCTTCAGGTTATGTACTTTTGTCAGGAACGTCATTAAAGTTTTGCTGAGGTAGAAGGCAAAAATTTTAGTGTTAAAAAATATTAGAGCTTTTCCAGTTCAAAAGCTCTAGTTCAAAATTGTGAAAGGAGTACAACAAGGCTGTATATTGTCACCCTGCTTATTTAACTTATAAGCAGAATATCTCATGTGAAATACCAGGCTGGATGAATCACAAGCTGGAATCAAGATTGCCAGGAGAAATACCAACAACCTCAGATATGTAGATGACACCATTCTAATGGCAGAAAGTGAAGAGAAACTAAAGAGCCTCTTGATGAGGATGAAAGAGCAGAGTGAAAAAACTGGCTTGAAACTCAGCAATCAGAAAACTAAGATCATGGCATCCAGTCCCATTACTTCATGGCAAATAGAAGGAGAAAAAGTGGAAGCAGCCGTAGATTTTCTTTTCCTGGGCTCTAGAAGCACTGGGTATGGTGATTGCACCCACGAAATTAAAAGACACATGCTCCTTGGAAGAAAAGGCTTCACAAACCTAGACAGCATATTAAAATGCAGGGACATCACTTTGCCAACAAAGGTCTTTATAGTCAAAGCGATGGTTTTTCTAGTAGTCATGTACAGATGAGAGAGTTGGACCATAAAGAAAGCTGAGTGCCGAAGAATTGATGCTTTCAAATTGTGGTGCTGGAGAAGACTCTTGAGAGTCCCTTGGACAGCAAGGATATCAAACCAGTCAATCCTAAAGGAAATCGGTCCTGATGAAGCTCCAGTACTTTGGCCACCTGATGCAAACAACTGACTCATTGGAAAACATCCTGTTTCTGGGACAAATTGAAGGCAAAAGGAGAAGAGGGTGACAGAGGATGAGATGGTTAGATAGCATTGCTGACTTTATGGACATGAATTTGAGCACACTCCGGGAGATAGTGAAGGACAGAGGAACCTGGCAAACTGCAGTCCCTGGGGGTCACAAAGAGTCGAACACAACTTAGCAACTGAACAGCAGCAGCATTCTCATATGACCTTCACAACAAAGCTGTGAGATCAGTTACGTTATGTCATTTGTTCACTCAACAAAGACTTCTTGAGCATCTGTGATATGCCAAGCACTGTTATAGGTGCTCGGGGTATATACCATATATAAAACAGAAAAAAAAAAAAATCTTACCTTCAGGAATTTCCTTTATAGTGGGAGGCAAAGATTATCCTTTAGAAACTGTGTGTGCGTGCTCACACACACAAAGTGTGTTCACATGGTATAAAAGAGTGTATAGTGAAAATGGGTCTCTGTCTTACCACTTCCGCCTCACCTCTCAGTTTCTCTCCCCAGGAGTTCCCCTTTTTAGTTTTGTAGCTACTATACCTGGTTTACTGTGTATCCTTATAGGGACAGTCTTTGCCTAGATAATCATTCCTGTAATATATACTTTTTTCTACCCCCAACTTTTACAGTTGCTTTCTATATGTACTGTTCTTTGCCTTGATTATTTTTTTTCACTCAATAGTCTGTAATGGTGATGTATCTTTTCTTGCTAAATAAATACATTTAGGTTGTTTCCAGACATTTGCTGTTACAAACAATGTCTTATACATGTATCACTTGACCACTTTTAAGTGTGTTTAGATACATTTATGGAAGTGGAACTGCTGGGTAAAAGGGTACATACATTTTACATTTTGATAGACATTGTCAGTTGTTTTCTGCGGTGTTGTACCATTTTATATTCACATCAGCAATAGAAGAAAGTACTTATTTCCCCTGCCAACCGTGGGTGATATCAAGCTTTTTATATCAGTTAGCTCAAAGAGGGGAAAAAAAATTACACATTGTAGACTATTGCTTATTTGCTTCCCTTAATGTTAGTCTTCCTACCCTGTTAAAAAAATGCCATTTATATGTTATGAAATAACTAAATTTATGTTTAAAGTTCTTAAATGCTGAATTCACATTTATTGAACATTCTTTTAGCTATCTTGTTTCCCATATTGCTTTGTTTTAGCCAGTACATTTTTTTTTTATAGGTAGCATAGAAGTCACCTTTTTTTAAAGCCTATATGGGAATTATGAGTTAACAGTGATTAGATTGATATTTTTATCATATCAGAAAATGAAACAATAGATAATGTTTTACAATATTTGAACTGTAAATACTACCCCCCTATCCATTTGCCCCTTTTATCAGAAATAATTATGTGGTTGCTTTTCTATCTAAGTTCCATTTAAAGTTTTGGGGATATGAAGCATTAAAAGTGAGCTGATGGTAGACATTAAGAGTGACTAGATTTGAGACAGGTTTGTTGTACTGTCTGGAATTTGCCTTTTAACTCAATTTTTGAAGGAAAATTTCAACCATTTCCAAGAGACTCTTGTATTAAATGTTTCAGATGTTTAAAACTACATATTCATTAAGGCATTCAAACTACTTCAGGTTGTAATTTGCATTTTGTCATTGCAACCAATAGTAATAAAAATGATATTTGGAGATTAAATACTATGGATGTAAAACAGAACAATGTTTGAAACAGATGTATGTTATAGGATATAGAGTCCAATGGTTAAAAGCATGGGGTTTGGAGTAAGAGAACCCTGGATTCATTAGCTATGTATTTTATTAAGCCTCTGTTTCTTTATAAATAAAATGAACTAATAGTAGTACCTACCTTTATATAAGAGAGCTAGCTTAGTGCCTGGTAATGCAGTAACTACTGAACAAAATGCATCTCTTAGCATCATAACCAATCAAACTAAGATCAGTCACTACCATTTGGGAAACTAACAGTCATGTTAAAAAAACCTAGAACTGGCAGCATATAGCTGGAGAAATTGAAATGCATTCTCCACTTAATTTTTACTCATAACCCCTGATTTTCATTGCGTATGAGTTTTAGGATTGAACTCTTGTAGTTTTCATACCCAAAATATTTTATTAGAACTATAGTTTCTAAGAGCCACATATATTGCCTCTTCCTTCTTATTTCTAAAGTAATCTCCTAACCTCACCCATATGAATGGGAAGAATGTTTTTGTTTATTTGACATAATGTTGAGAGATGTCACAAATAAGTAATGCCAATACCAAAAGGAAACATCCATGAATCACTTGAAGAACTTTTAAGGGCCCAGAGTGGTATATAGATCACATTTTGAAAACCATTGCTACAAACATGTTGACCTAGAGGATAGTTTCATGTTATTTTACTTATATTGTTTTATAAGCAAAACTATTAAGTGTGGTAATAAAAAATGAGATAATCTCTTAGATGGTCTCTAAACAACTTTCTTATTTTTCTTTTTAAGTAAAGGTAGTATTTTATCCATAGAGCAAAAAAGTATCAATATTAGAAGACCTCAGGGGAAAAAAAGATTAAAAAAATGTCTTTAGGTAATTCTAACAACCAGAAACTTGGACATAAGTATAAAATTCTTTATTTTTTACAGGTGTCCCTTGGAATTTCACATTTAATGTAAAGTTTTACCCACCTGACCCAGCGCAGTTAACAGAAGATATAACAAGGTAAATAATGTATTAAGTTAAATATGTAATAAGTAATTTCATTATCATAAGGTCCGGGGAGTTCTTCATTCAGAATTAAAGAATTATTAAACCTAAGATAAAAAGTTTCTAGTTACTTCAAGGCAGGCTTACAAATAAGTGAGCCTAAAAACCTCAAATATCTGTGACTCACCTGGAGGAAATTGGTGGGGAATTAACCTTGCTTATCAAGGATATTATGCCATGCTGTGGACAGGGACTCAATAAATCATACCATCCTCCAAAGAATAGGACACAAACAGAGTGGCAAATAGCTCTGCTGTTTTTTGTTTTAAATACTCTTCTCTTGTGATGTTCTTTCTTAAGGGATCAAAAAAGCTAAAGTCTCAGTTTTCTTATTTTTTCCTCCTATTCCTCTTTTAAATTGTAGGATTAGGTATGTGAACTGAATCTTTCTCAGTAATTTTTGAGCCCGCTTAATTTATGAAATAAATCTTGTAAATAAAAATTTATTTATGAAATAAATCTCTTTCAAAACAGCTTACTGATTCCTTTTAAGAAAGTGTCCTTTATTGGATTCTATGTAAATATTAGCAAAAAGGGAAAATGGAAAAACAATATCTAATAAAAAGTACTATAGTACGTATTTCTATTCATAGCATCTTACGTAGAGCCTTATATGTACATAGTGGGTATTTGGCAAATGTTTGTTCAATCGAATTGTTGTTGAGAAACTACTTTCTAATTCTGATTTTGCTGCCAACCATCTGATTTCAGACAAATATATTCTCTCAAATAAGAGAATAACCTAAGACTCCTAAAAAGTCTGGTTGTTAAGTACTGTGAAGTGCCTATACCATTAAAAAAGTTATCTAGTTATTCTTAGTACATTCTTGAAGTTGAGATGCCATATTTCTGCCTGAAAAAATTATCTTGGTTATTTCTTTTTCACAAGTAATACTTTCTCTTAGAGTTGTTACTTACTCATCTTTCTTTCGGAGAAGGCAATGGCACCCCACTCCAGTACTCTTGCCTGGAAAATCCCATAGATGGGGGAGCCTGGTAGGCTGCAGTCCATTGGGTCGCTACTAGTCAGACTCGACTGAGCGACTTCACTTTCACTTGTCACTTTCACATATTGGAGAAGGAAGTGGCAACCCACTCCAGTGTTCTTGCCTTGAGAATCCCAGGGATGGGGGAGCCTGTGAGCTGCTGTCTGTGGGGTCGCACAGTCGGACATGACTGAAGCGACTTAGCAGCAGCAGCAGCATTTTTCTTTGTTAAGGTTTATTATATATTCAAATAACAAATCCCTAAAATTCTGTACTAACTACCTATGTTTTAGAGGAGTTGAAGATTCTTACGATTTGATTGGCATTGCTCTGACTTTTTAAAAGACATGTATGTAGTGACTAATCATAGACAGCAAAAATGATTGCTGGTGCATATGTTATTCAATATCTTCTTATAGTCAAAGCCAAGATATGATTCTAATTAATCATGGCCCTGACCTCCTTAGCCCTTGTTCTGACTGAGTTAGCCAGTTCAGACTCTTTTACCAAACAGGAAAACTGGAAGGTATGATTAAATTGGAAGAACGCAGTTCGGGCTATCTGACACTGAAACAGTACAGTGAACAACCATATACCTTCTTAGATTGAACAGTTGTTAATATTAACTCATATTTACTTAGTTGCTCTTTTCCTTCCTCCCTCCCTGTCTTCCCCATTTTCTTCCTTTTTCTCTCTCTGTATTTTGTTATTGTTTCCGTCGCCGACATAGTAACGTCTTTTCTCTTTTGGCTATAGGTATTACCTATGTCTTCAGCTTCGGCAGGACATAGTGTCAGGACGTCTGCCCTGTTCCTTTGCAACCTTAGCGTTACTAGGCTCTTATACTATCCAGTCTGAGCTGGGAGACTATGACCCAGAACTCCATGGCACAGATTATGTTAGTGATTTTAAACTGGCCCCAAATCAGACCAAGGAACTTGAAGAGAAGGTCATGGAACTGCATAAGTCATACAGGTAAATATGTCTCCAGGATTTGGTCTGTCTTTACTTTGACAATAAGCATAAATCCTTGATTTATCCTGGGATGATTTTAGTGTTCGCCTCCGTGGGAACTGGTGACATAGAAAGAGTCATTTTGAGCTCAGTTCCCTCCCAGTTCTTTGGGATTCTAAGCCTTCTGAACCTAAGTTTTCAGAGTAATGGGTGCTGCATTGTTGGATGAAAACTAAATGAGGTAATATATGTAAAGCACTAAGCAGAGTGTCTGGCACATAGTAGGTGCTCAATAAATGGAAGCTATTATTACTATTGCCTTTTACCTTTTTTTTGTTTGTTTTTTAGATTTAAATGTATTATACTGTATTAGATACCTTGAGATCTTTAGAGCAGAGGTTCTTAACTTGGGGTCTTTTTGCAAGGATAGACTTAAGAGGGCTCATAAAACCCATGAAGATATTTTTAAATTCTTTCTTGAATTCACTAATTTTTTCTTTTTTCATGAAAATAATTGGTAATGTGAGAGGTATAACACAGTGATCAAGAACAAGGGCTTTAGTCAGACTGAGCTGGGTTGAATTCTTGTTCTGCTTGGTCCTAGCCTTGTGACCTCAGGTAATTCACTTAATCTCTCTGAACCTCAGATTCCTTATATGTATGATAGAGATCATTACCTCAGAGGAAATAGGGTGATCCATCGGATTAGAAAAGGTCATAGGTGTAAAAACTTAATAAAATGTCTTACACATAGTAAAAATTTAATAAACATTAGCTAATATTAAAGTCCCAGAAAAATGTGTTTATTCCTACCATATATCCTATTATTATTTGAGTGACTTCTCCGAGTTAAATTTTATAAGCTGCCTAGGGATTTCAAGGAGAATGTCTGATCCTGGCCTTGAGTTGGCACCTTGAATTATGTTAGCATGAATTAGGCTAGGATGCCCCAGAAGGTCACACTGCTGAGAAATCCTGAGTGGTCGTACAGTAGTCTATCTAGCTGTTGAACCATCTTCTTTTCCTTAGAGTGGTTCCAATAGGATTGCATGGATTCAGATGCTTCAAATAAGAGAGTGTTAACTCAAGGTCCCCCAGTTCTAGTTGCCTTATTCCCACTGTAGGCTCCAGTCTCTCAGTCATGAGAACCATAATAAGAACTTTAGAGTCTTTCATCTATGTAACAGTAGTTTTATTACAATCACCCCACTCTCATGAGATCATGCTGTTTCTACAGAGAATTGCCAAGGTTTGTTTTTCAAGTTTGGGTATATACATTACAATGCTCTGATATCTAAGACCACTAATGAATCACTTTTAACTAGTTGATGATTCTAACTTAAAGGATGTTGTATTGTCCTTAAATACGTGTTTGGTGATGGCAGTTTAGTCACTACATCGTATCCAACTCTTGCGATTCCCATGGACTATAGCCTGCCAGGTTCCTCTGTCCATGAGATTTCCCAGGCAAGAATACTGTAGTGGGTAGCCATTCCCTTCTCCGGGAGATTTTCCCAACCTAGGGACTGAACCCGTGTCTTCTGCGTTGCAGGTGGATTCTTTACTGCTGAGCCACCAGGGAAGCCCAAAATATGTGTCTAAGATACTTATTTATATTCTGATTATAATTCTAGAAATTTATATATGTATGTAAAATATGTAATCACACACACAAATACATGTACACAAAAGTAAGTGGTAGAAAGAAGCAATCAATTAAAATTATTTGTTAGAATGTCAGGATTGTAGGGAAGTGTTATTTTTATCTAATAATTTAAAAATAATTTTTATTAATAGTAGTATAATCTTTGAGCAATCAATAAAATGGTAAAAGAAAATATTTTACTGCTGCTGTGGAGCACAACAGCAGAAAATAGTGGTGTTGGATTATGACTGATGCCTTACTTCTGTCTCTGATGATTTCAATGTATATTTGATCACAATAGAATTTCAGGTTTGGGAGGACTTTGCAGTCTAAATTTCATGCAATGTTTGATTGTTTTTTTTATGCATTGTTTTTTTAATGCATTATTTTATGCATTGTTGACATAATCGTCATCATATCCTAAGCAGCTAATTATTATGTGTCTGTTATTATGTGCCAGATACCATGCTAAGCACTTTGTGTATAATATCATATTTAATCTTTATAACCACCCTTTGAATTAAGCGGTGTGCGCTCAGTCACTTCAGTCATGTCTGACTCTTTGTGACCCTATGGCCTGTAGCCTGCCATGCTCCTCTGTCCGTGGAATTTTCCAGACAAGAATGGGTTGCCATTTCCTACTCCAGGGGATATTCCTGACCCAGGGATTGAACCTGTGTCTCCTGTGTCTTCCGTATTGGCAGGTAGATTCTTTATCACTGCGCCACCTGGGGAGCCCTTTGTTGAAATGGTGGAGCACAAATCAAGGCAGTTGGCACCAAACTGTACTACTAGTCTTTATATGCTTCACTAGGATGCACTTTTATTTTTTAACTTGCAGTTAAAAGATGAAATATTTTAAAATCTGCCTGTTCAGTTAAAAATTTTCATGATGAATAGTAAAAAGTATTGATTCTTTTAAATCTTAAATATACTCTGCTTAATATTCTGTGTGATTTAATAGGAAGTACCCAGAAAGCACTTGTACTGCATACCGAGATACAACAGTTATCTTGAGGAAAAACACTTGTATAATTGTTTTACGTTCTCAGCTGAATTAGTCACTTTTTTTTAATGCAACACCTTTTTCACTTGAAAAAATAACTATGATTAATGACTATGATTATTCAGATTTGGTTGTTTGGCATACATTTTCTTGAAAAAATGAAATGAGCCAGTCCTTTAAGGGTTGGTAAACAACTGACTATTTGTTGCTAATGAGAAAATTCAAGCTTTTAAGAGAAAATCAGAATTTTGTAAAACTTCTATTTGCCATCATGGTCTTGACAGGCTCCAAATACTTAAAAGACTTTTCTGATGGAGTTGGTGATGACTTTAATGCATGTGATTCTCTTCTTTTAATACTACAATGAAATGTGTTAGCATTTGAAGGACTTGGATTATTCAGTCAACGAATATTTTTCAGATATGAAATGCATGATGTTACAAAATCATGCATAACTATAGAAGGTCCATTCGAAATGCAAGATAGGCCAATGGATTTTAATATAACAGGTTACAAAAGTTCACCATTATGTCTTCAGATTTCACATTGGAAACCCCCTTAGGAAACCCATTGTTGAGTTTTAGTGTAGTAAGTATCAAAGAAGAATATTTTTAATCATCAATTCATTTTCCAACTACATATCTGTATGAGCTCAGGTTTCTTCTTATACTACAACCAAATTCAAATATTGCAACAGGTTGAATTCAGAAGTAGTTAGAAGACAGGAGAATCCAGCTGTCTTCCAAGTCACACATTAAAAAAATTTTATAAATATGGAAAACAATGCCACTCCTTTACAACAGTTTGGGAAAATGCTGTTATTTTTTAAAAAAATTGTTTAAATATGAGTTTTTTATTGTTATTCTTTAAAGATTTAATCAGTAGTTTCAAATTGTATTAGTTTTACCTTCTGTTATAGTAAATATTGATAGAAATAACCCGCATTTAATAAAAGCTCTTTAGAGTCCTCAGTAATTATCAAGAGGGAAGGGATTCTGAAGTCAAAATTTTGAGAACCACTGAGCTAGGCACTAAGGCAAAAGCCTGAGCTCTGGAGTCAGCCTATCTTACTTTGAATTCAGTCTCCATTCCTTATTAGCTTTATGATCCTTAGTAAGTTACTTAAGGGCTTCCCAGGCTTCCCTGGTGGTTTAGATGGTAAAGAATCTGCCCGAAATGCAGGAGACCCAGGTTCAGTCCCTGAGTTGCGAAGATCCCCTGGAGGAGAGCATGGCAACCCACTCCCAGTACTCTTGCCTGGAGAATCCCCTGGACAGAGGAGCCTGGTGGTTTACAGTCTACAGGATTGAAAAGAGTTGGACACAACTGAAGCGACTGGAGCACACATGCATGCTAGTTACTTAAGCTCTCCAAGTTTCTGTTTTTTCATCTGAAACAAAAGGATGATACTGTGAGTTTTGTGATTGTTTAATCAGAAATTCATGTAAAGTGCTTTGCACAATGATTAGTATATAGTAAAATTTCCAATATTTGTTAGGATAATAATAATTCTTATTCCATTTTGCCAGTAATAAGGGTGAGTCTGGGTTTAGAGAACTGCCCTTGGGAACTGACTTTAAATCCAAATAGGTGAAACAATCTCAGAGGACAGATGGATATGTTCCAGTTGATGTTCTGTGAGGTGTATGGATAGAAATTGAACAGTAATGTATCTCCATGATTAGAAAATTTAGAGGTCTGTCATCTTGGAATTTACTTGCTCCTTTTTGGAAAGATTGGCAGTCCTCACAAACAGAAAGTCAAAGGGGAATTTTAATTATGTCCCAGGAATGTGACATTTTAACCAGTCCAAAGAGACTTCTGCTAAGGCAGAAGCATTTACTATGCATTGATCCCATTCCTCAGATAAATAGAAGACAGCCTACATACATGGAATCTTTAGTAGTGGCCCTTTATTTGCCTAGACAGAAACTGTGAAGCTATAATTCACATTAAACTTACACTAGCAAATCAAGGTTTAAAACTAATTGTCCTCCATATGGGGACTAGGAAAGTAATGTAAAGTTGTCAGTTGTCCGCTATGTAATTATTTGAAACCGCAGTCTTTAATTTGGAGATGCAACAATGTTATTAAAAGGCTGTCACATCCCCCAACAAATGTAAACTGTTGACTTGCAAGCATGTGGACCCCAAATTGGTTGAAATCCAGAAGATGGGTAATGCTTGAAACTTTGCCTTTATGCCAGCCAACCTGAGAATTGTGCACGAGCTGATCATGCAGCCTGTAGCCACCTCCCTCACAATGCCTTGAAAACCTCTGTCTCCTAACGGGCAATGTGGAGATGATTTTAGGACATTAATCCACTGTCTCCCCAGGTCGCTGGCTTCCTGAATAAAGCTTTTCCCATTTAAAAAAGAAGGAAAAAGTCTGTTACTTAACGCTGGAACTCTCTGAGTGGCTCTGTATCCTGACTCCGCTTGCTCAAAATAAATACAGGGAAACTTTGTTATAACTTCTCTCTTTAATGAGCAAAAAATAACCTGTGCCAAATCCTTCTGGTTAGGTACTTCTTGTAAGGTGCAGTAATTTCAAATAGTAAATTATTAAGGGTACTGAATAAATTCAAAACAGTACTCCTAATAATTTAGAGCTGTCTAATCTCTTCTTAGCTAGATTGTTACTACTTTCAAGAGTCTTGGAAAAACCATAATCTTTAAAATGTTAACTTGAAAATAATTCACTTTAATTGGTGGTTTATTTGTAAAATATGATTGCATTTACATGCACAGGTACCTGTGATTGGTGGGATTATGGGAAACTTTGTTCTTTTTTTTTTTCTATGCTCTCAATGATATTTTCCAAATTTTATACAATGAATGTAGATTTTTATAATCAGAAAAAGTTTCCTGAAGCAATTATGTTCTAAAGCCATTAGGTGGGATAGAGCAAAATAGTCAACCATGCTGGGAGACAGCCTGGTTGGGGATATTGGGGCCTAAACAGGGTGAGGAGAGTGTTCGTTGCAGGGGGCCAGCCTTGCAGGAGAAGTCAGAGCTCAAATAGGATGAAAGGGGAGTCACAGGTGGGCACGTGGTTGTGGTTATCAGAGGCAGGACAGAGTGAGAAGGGCATCCATGTAGGAGTAAAGCCCGCAGAGGACATCCACATGGGGTGGTACCTGATACAGGTGTTGAAGCCTGAGCAGGTGAAGAAGATGTCTGTGGAAGGGCTAGCCTAGCACCAGGGGTCAGAATCTGAGTGAGGTAAGGAGGACACGTGTGGGGAGCAGCCTAGCATGGGGAATTCAGAGTCTAAGCCAGTGAAGAGGGCATCCGTGTCAGGGAGGAGTCAGTGGCAGGAAGTAGATTGGTTATGTACGGGGGAGCAGGGGGGGTTGATCAGATTAGTGTATTAAGGATAATGGGAGTCAAGTTTCTGACTGTCAGTAAAGGGAGATAGAAATTACAGTGAGAAGGAAACTAAAATGACTCCTATGGTATTGCGTTAAAACTGCAAGTTTTAGCAAAAACTGTTTTCGATGGATGGGTGGATGGATAGATAGATAGACGTGTAAATATTAGTACACACACACACTCCAGCTACATCCAAAGATTAAAAAAGAAGAAATCATTTCCTACACTAGCCTCAGGAAGTAGGTATTATTACAATTCTTACTTTATAGGAGATTGATGTCACACTCTTAAATGCAGGAGCCAGCTCTAATGATGTGACTTGGGTCCTGGCTAAAGCCTGCTGCCTTAAACTAAGAGTCATAACTTGCCCATGATCATGTAATCCCTTGAGCCCTGTTTCTTTATCAGCAAAATGGAAGTGTTGGACTCTATAATCTTCCAACTCCATTCCAGCTTCAAATTCTAAACTTTAAGCTCTCAGTAATACTAACAACAAAAACAAAATACCCCAAATCTAGAATATGGGAGTAACCTTAACTAGAAACGTATATAATTAAGGTGAGAGAAGAAGACTATAAAACTTTCCTGAGATGCTCTTAATGACTTGAACATGCAGAATTGCTTGTTCAAGTGCTTATTTTCCCATTCTTTTTGTGTGTTCAATTTTAGTCATTAATAGCATTCAGGTGTGATATTTTGGCACTTGCAGAAAGAAGTTTTTATTAGGGGTGCGAGGAGTCATGAACAAGTATGCAGCTTCTTTCCTGAGGTTTTTTTTTAATTGGGGTGGGGGGTTGTTATTCCAAGGACCCTTTTGTTCTGTTTTGGCTGCACCAGGCAGCATGTGGGATCTTAGGTCCCCAACCAGGGATCAAACTGACACCCCCTGCATTGGAAGCATGGTGTCTTAACCACTGAACCACCAGGGAAGTCGTCCTTTGTTCTTTTTAATGAGGATAAAGACAGATGGTTTTGAAAGAGACTTTCTCTTGTTAAATGAATAGGTCACCGCTGCTTTTTTATAGCTTGAGGCAGGCAGTCTTTTGGGAAACAGGCATTTACCGTGGTTTTTCTTTGGGGGTGTGGCTGCATTATTGTTACTATGAAGTTCTATTTGATTGGTTCTGAATTGTGCAGCACTAGGAGTAGTATCTTTTTCTTTAAAGCTCAGCCTAGCTCATGAGCACTTTTCAAAAGAGAAGAAAATTATAAAGGAGGAGGAAAGACTGTCATAGTGAGTGTTTAGACTATGAGGCTGATTGTTTTCAAACAAATTTAATTCATTATCTGCTTTGTAATGAAGATATCTTAATAACAGAGAGGCAGCCCTTTTATCTACATGCTCCTATTAACCAGTTTATTTTGTTTAGATCAGTGGGCAGGACACCATCTGTTACCAGAAATTTTCTTTTCATCAAGTCTGTCCCCATTAAGAATCCCCAGTTAAGCAACTTCAGTTGCCCTCCTGTTTAATTTCCATAATAACTCAATTCAGGGATATGGAGAGAAAAGGGCAGCTAAGAGGATATTGTAAACTGTATCATGCCCTCAGAGGATTTAATTTGGTCACCTCCTTGGCAAGATAAATTAGTGGGAGGAGTTTATGTGTGTTGAAGAAAAGGGCTAAGAAGAGGGAGGAGCAGAACTGATGGTAGATTAGGCAGTTTTAAAGAATTTTAGGATTTAAAAAAAACTTTTCTTCTAATAGCTTCTTGGTAACTTTTTATTTCTCCAAGAGCTCTTTTTCTAAGACATATTTCAATTATTTAGACACAGGTAGTGATAAGTTCTTTTCCATACATAATATTCTATTTTTAGGACCATGAAATACATCTACATACCTATTGGTATGTATACGCTTTTATGTTTATGTAAAGTAAAAGTGATATACAAATGCTATTCTTTTAAATATTGACACTGTGACACTGAAAGTTTTTTTTTTTTTTCTTCTATCAAAGGTCCATGACTCCAGCTCAGGCTGACCTGGAATTTCTTGAGAATGCCAAAAAGTTGTCTATGTATGGTGTTGACCTTCATAAAGCAAAGGTAATGGTAACTTATTAATATGCATGTATCAGACCTGTTTCATATAATACTGCGTACCAACATTTACCTAGGGTATTACAAAACATTCAGAGGAGATAGTAATTCTTGTTAGAATGTTGTCTGTCAGTTGAACAGTCAAGTGTATTAAGTGTATGAATTGAATTGCCTGTTTGCCATTCCACCAACAGAACGAGTTTTCACACCTAAGCAACTGTAAGGATCAAAAGATATAGTGCCAAGAGCAGAAGAAATGATAACTTCCTAAGATGCAGATACATTTGCAAATGCAGTGTGACAGTGAGGCTTGTTTCGTAGCCAGTCACCTACCTCAGAATCACCTGGGGTATTCGTTAAATATACAGATTCCTGAGCTCCTCCCAGATACACTGACTGACTGTGGAGAAGAGGCTTAGTCTCCAGATTTAATGATTATCCCAAATGATTCTCCTTCATGCTTGAATCTGAGGATCACTGGCATGAGGCAACAGTTCACAACGTGTGGTCTCTGAACCAGCATTTAGCGTTGTCTAGGAACTTGTTTGAAATGCTCATCTCAGTTCCCATCCCAGAGTTACTGAATCAGAAACTCTGTGGGTAGGGCCCAGCCCTCTGTTTTAACAAGCTCTCCAGGTGATTCTGATGCACACAGGAGGAGCACAGATAGCTCACTTGAGAACCACTGGGTTAGGTAATTGGAAACTTGAGCTTTCATCCCCATTCAACCCAAGGCTGTCTAACACAATGAATAATGACAGGATGTCGCTTGACTTCTCTCATCTTCAGCTACTGAAATGACTGGGGAGGTTGAGGAGTTTGTGAGGGAAAAGACTCAAGGGGTGATCGGAGTTTCATTCAGAGAAATTTAACTAGGATGTACGGTGAATCAAACCCATGTCCAGTGAGAAACAGGCAAAAGAATAGGGATACTTAACCCAGAGAAGGGAAAGTTTCGGGAAGATATAATAGCAGTCTTTGTGGATTTCAAGGATTAGTGTGTAAAGTAGAAGTTTTACTGGGCCTCCAGAATGCAACACTGGAGCAGGTAAACTGGAAACTGCAGGGAGATACTGCTCAGCTCAGTTGGACAGTTTGTCTGACAGAGCTATTTCAAAGGTGGGATGGGCTATCTCAGAAGGGACAGAGTTCTCTGGAGATATTCCAGGTTAGGCAGAATAATCACTTGGTAGCAATTTAGAAAAGGACCTTCAAACATTTTGTGGTAATTGTACTAAAGTAACCTTTCAGGCTTCTCCCAACCTGAATATCTGTATCTGAAGCTTCTTCCTTATTTAGATTTCTAATAACCCTAATAAGATTCCTTTGTATATTAGTGAGTTTTCTTGATGTTGCTCTGGATTGTTTGGGGCTGGATATCGTAACTTCTGTGACTCTCAAAAGTAGATGGTAGGAAGATCAGATCAGGTCCAGAACTGAACTGGTTAGGTTTTGCTTCTCAATTTCTGCTGGAGGCTTGTGTCAATTCAGTATTTATCAGGAATGCATGAGGAATCAGGCAGCATATTCCTTTGCCAAATGCCGTAAAGCAAATGATTTTTTCAAAACATCTAGTTAAAAGAGGGATGTAATTGTACCCACAGGCTTTAAGAACTTAAGGGGGCATCTTCTGAGAAATTGTGTTATGTGGTCATTGAGTTGAAGCTGAATATTATTTCTTTTTCTCTCCATTGTGCTTGTACATAGCACATGTAGACACTAATATGTTTCTCTGTACTCATTTTGGGGAAAGGAGTCGTTTAGAAGCATGTAATGCCGGGTTTTTATTACTTATCTAAATAAATAGTCAGCTATAGAGATGAACTCAGGTGAAATTTATTTTCCTTGAATCAGTTGTGATTAATAATATGGGCAGGTAACAAACTCAATGTAAACACTTACTGAGCATATTGTCAATAACAGTATGGGGTGATACAGAAATGATTTAGATATAGTTTCTACCCTCAAGGACTGAATTTTAATTTTTTTCTAGTTGTTTTCCTCATCATAAAGGTGATATATATATATATATACATATATATATATATATATAAAGAATATATTTATATGTATGTATGTATATATTGGGGTTTCCCATGTGGTGCTAGTGGTAAAGAACCCACCTGCCAATGCAGGAGACGTAAGAGACGTGGATTCGATCCCTGGGTTGGGAAGATCCCCTGGAGAAGGAAATGGCAGCCCACTCCAGTATTCTTGCCAGGAGGAGAATCCTTTGACAGAGGACCCTGGCAGCCTACAGTCAATAAGGTCACAAAGAGTTGGGACACAACTGAAGTGACTTAGCACACACACAGCACACATATATGTATTATGCACACATAGTTGTATGTGCTTAGTAAATAGGATAATTCAGGAAATTATCAAATTAGTACTAGTTATAGTTAAAGAATATGGAAAGACAAGAGTAGAGTTTTTAAATTTTACGCATTTCTGCATTATTTGAATTTTGTGCATACGTGTGTTAGTTTTTTGACATTTGAATGCTTTTTAAAAGACAATACGTGTCTATTGTAATTAAAGTGTAGAAAACTAAAATAAAAAATTGCTCATAATTGTACCACCTAAAGAATGGCATTATTAACATTTTGCTGTATACATCTTTCTTCTATGAAAATCTTTTATATTGTTGAAATCAAATTACATATGTAATTTTTTTCTGCTTTATTTCACTTAATGTTAACAACATAGTTATTTTCCCATTTATCTTCCAAATTCTAGTCTAACTATTTTAATAGCTGCATCATATTTCACTATATGGATGGACAAAATTTAACCCTAATGCTTGGATATTTAGGTTATATACAGTTTTTCACTCTTAAAACATTCTGAACAGTATCATGTGTAAAGCTTTTTCTGTGATTTGTATTATTTCCTTAGAGCAGATTATAGAAATAGAATTAAGGAGTCTCATTTGGAATTTTAAAGATACTTATGATAGGTAATAACATTGATTTTTTAAAACGTGGTATAGTAACAACATTTTGACATAGACCAAATAGTTCCATAGGTTATGGTTGTTAGGTTAAGCTTTATTTTTCCATGTGTGCTTTGTAACTGTTTTGTGTTGTTAATAGCTTCAGACTGTCTAGTACTAGTCGGCTGTGTTGAGCGTTTGGCTCAAGACTGACATTCTCTTTTTCCTCAGGACTTGGAGGGCGTGGATATCATCCTAGGTGTCTGCTCTAGTGGCCTTCTGGTTTACAAAGAAAAGCTGAGAATTAACCGCTTTCCTTGGCCCAAAGTGCTGAAGATTTCTTACAAACGTAGCAGCTTTTTCATTAAGATTCGGCCTGGAGAGGTACATACGGAGCTCGTGATCCCCTTTCCTCCTGAATCAAACACAGATGGTGTCTAAAACATCTCTTCATGCCTGTTTTCCATGCTATCCTCTCTGAGGTCTCTCTCCAGCCAACTATTTAGGCTCTGGTATTTTGTTTCCTAAAGTAACCAGTCCCATGCTGCTACTTTCCTTTACTGTTGTTGGTTTTCTGGGCAGTTCTCTTCATGTAAGCAAATACACCAAGGCCAGAAGTGAAATTGGGATTAATAAACTTGTTCCTTGTTTACTCCAGGTAAAAACTTGATGGAAAATATTTTTAAAGAAAGTAGCATGAGATATTTAAACTGTGAGGTTAGATTACTTACATTTTGCATGACAAATCCCTTACCTTATATAAATAAATTTATTTGTATGTGTAGTTTCTGGTAGTGACTGGAAATGTGTTCCAGGGTCAAGTTCTAGATTTGTAGTAGAGTTGGATGTTCAACTTTGTACCAGATAACTCAGTTATTAATTGGTAGTCAATTTTCAGGATATACCAATGCTGGCTAAGTTTAACTTTTATATTAAAGCGCTGTCATGGTATAGCAGAAACTTGTTCAAGTAGGAGTTAAATTAAAAAAAAATTCCAATACCTATTCTGTCACCTACTAAGTAAAAGACCCTTGACAGATCTCAGGCATTCTTTATCACTCAAGGGGGATAGTACCTCCTCTGTCAAAGCTGATTTGAAGATCAAATGAGATGACAGCTATAAAAGCTCTCTACAGAAAAGCACCATACTAATGTAAAGAGGCTTTTCTGTGTGTATATCACCATCTACTGGTGAAAAATGACTCATTGTTTCAGCATGAAAATACTGAATGTGCAGCCTTAAAATTTCGGGTAAGGATTATTGCTGAAGCATTTGTTTAGGACCATAATAATTTACCTGTGCCTAGCAAAAGTTAGAGTTCCAGATACAAGAGTCATTCAGTCAACAAATGTTTTCTGATAGCATCCTTTGTGTCAGACACTATTCCAGGGGCTAGTAACAGTGAATAAAAGAGTCTGTCCCTCTGCAGGCTTACCTTTTTTATGTTGGAAGGCAGAAAAAAAAAACACACCATATATATATAGGAAGGACTTCCCATGATGGGAAGTCCTTTGTTTATTTAAATGTTAACTATGTAATATACACTAAAAATTCAAAAGTCTTACTTTAGAAAGCAATAAAGAACAACAGGAGGATTTTGAGAAGTGTAATGTAATATTATGACTACAATAGATGATTTAGAAGTAGTGTGGTGTAAGGGAAACCATGAAATTCTGGTTCTGCCGCTTAATAGCTGTGAGACTGAGCAAGTAACTTCTCTGATCTCAGTTACACATGAGTTACCTCATGTGTAAAAATACAGATGATACTATCCAATCACAGTGCTATTGGCCATAATAGGCACTAGAAGTTAATGTCAGTTTCCTTCCATCGTATAAAGCGTGCTTAAGGCAGAAACAGAGAGGCAAGAGAAGCAGGACAGTGTTTCCAGTAGCCCTGCAAGATGTGGTTTGCTTCAGTCAAAGAGGTTATCTAGATAAATTAACGATCAATCAAAGAGAAAAAAAGATATTTAATAATTCAAGAATCTGGTTTGAACCACAATCTTTAGTTCCTATTTCTAAAAATGACTGCATAATGATATTGGTTGATTGGAAGAATCATCTGTTATCCTAGTCCCTGATTACTGGGTAGCCTAGTATCCTAAGTGCAGGAAGAGCAGTGTCTGGACTATCAAAACATGACTTATTTATGTCTCAGAAAATGTACGGTGTATGTATGCATGTGTGTTTCTGAACAAAATAAGATGTGTAAATAATATAAGCTGAAAAACCACTCTCAGTGAATAAATTTCTTTTGTTAAGTAGGAAAACATTTCAAGTGCTATTTTATGTCCTTAGACTAGTCACATTCTTTTTATTTGCAATGATCTCCTCTGTAGCACTGTCTTTCTCTGGTCCGATATCATTGCAGTTGAATAATACTTTGTGTTCCGTGCTTATTTGTATACTTACAGCAAGAACAGTATGAAAGTACTATCGGATTCAAACTTCCCAGTTACCGAGCAGCTAAGAAATTATGGAAAGTCTGTGTAGAGCATCACACATTTTTCAGGTATTGTTCTCACTTCAGTATTTTTCAAGAATGAATTATTTATGCATGTTTCTATTTTAAGCCTGCTGTTGAAATTCCCTTCTTTGTATGGTTGGCAGTCTTTAGCTCAGGTGAGATCATCTTAAGCAAGACAAAATGAATCTAGTTCTCCTCCTTTGGGTTGAAAAACACGGCCTCCACATTCCCAGAGCATCTTCCTATGTATGGTGGAAGAAGGAGGGAGAAAGGAAGAGGAGCCTGTGTTTACAAGAGGCTCTGTGGTTGCCCTAGGGGGCTAAATCCAGCCCTACCAGGAAGAGGTACCATGACTGACCTCCACATGGAATTGCCTAACTATCTGCTGTGGGTCTGTTACTCTAGAAGATTAAAGATTTGAAGCTGATCATTTTCTTGGTTCTAATCAACCCCAGAAAGGGAGCACAGAGAACCATACTTGAAGCCTGATTGTTATCAGATAAACAGAAGGCAGAAGGAAGTTTCATCTCCTTCACTTTCCCTGAGGCCACATACTTAACCCCTCTGTTCATTTGCCAAGCATTTCTTGTGTGCTTACCCTTCATATAGACATTGGGAATAACCACTAGTAGTTCTAGTCCCAGTCCTAATGGAACTTAAAATCTAGCAGACAAATGATTACTTGTGTTGAAAGGAAAGCCAACTAGTTGTTGTCATTTAGCCTTTTTAAGAAAATGAAAATTGCATGTATAGTACAGTGAAGAGAATAATATAATGAACTCCCCTTGTACCAAACCCCAGCTTCAATAATTATCACCCCAATGCCAATCTTGTTTCATCTGTATCCTCACCCACTCTTTCCTACTACTTCCTAGATTATTTTGAAGCAAATGCCAGACCTTATGCCATGTCATTCATAAATAAACTTGACTCTTTATAAATGGCTCTCAAGAGAGAGAACCATGATATCTTTTCCTTCTATTTGTATTTTTTTATGTCATACTTAGCACTAAAGAACAGTGTACAGAAAGAAAAGTCAGGGAAAATAACATTTCAGTTCTCATTTCAAATAAACCATCAGGCTACATGTTACACTCAATTAAAAAATCTTAATTATTAAAAAAAATTTAATTACTGACATTAAGATATTTCTCTATGCTTCCGTTGTTTACTTTAAAACCAAGAAAATAGTTTTAAATGAAGGTGAGGAAGCATAAAAAGAACTTTTTTATTTTTTTTTAATTGAATTATAGTTGCTTTACAATGTTGTGTAAGTTTCAAGTGTTCAGCAAAGTGATTCAGTTATATGTATATATTTTCAGGTTCTTTTCCTTTGTAATGACTACCAAGTATCATTCCCTGTGCTATATAATAGATCCTTGTTGGTTGTCTAATATAGTAGTATGTATATGTTGATCCCAAACTCCTAATTTATCCCCCCACCAAAAAAGAGTTATTTTGAATGTTATATGTATGGTATAGTTCAGTTGCATCCTGTGTATTTACTTGTAGGATAGCATATTTATATCCACTGTATCAAAATAAGAGGATATATTGACATGTAATGCTTCACTGGGCTTCCCTGATGGCTCAGTGGTAAAAAAAATCCTCCTGCCAATGCAGGAGACTCAGGTTCAGTCCCTGGGTCGAGAAGATTCCCTGGAAAAGAAAATAGCAACCCACTCCAGTGTTCTTCAGAGGAAATCCCAGGGACAGAGGAGCCTGGTGGGCTACAATCCATGGGTTTGCAAAAAAGTTGGACGTAACTTGTGACTAAACACAATGCTTCATTACATAAAAGAAAGTATTTGCTGAATTAAAATAAACTACCCCAAATTGGGGGATGGGGACTCTCTTTTTGGTAGTATTTGATGTAGCAATGTATATATACATTTATTCAGCAAACATTCATTGAATGCCAGATTCATGCCAGGCACTATGCCAAAAGTGAAAACACAAAGATGAGTAAGTCGATCTTTATTCTTTACCCTTGGAGAGTTCACAGTCTCATAGTGGAAACTAGTACACAGATTGTTTCAATTCAGTGTAGTGAATGCCCTGACAAAAGAGAGCAGAGAGCACTGTGTAGAAAGAAGGTGAGGTTTCTGAGTTGAAAATACACCAAAAAACCTATTAAATAGATTACCAGGCATTGAGTTTGGAGTGTGTTTGACAAAATTATTATTCTAGGAGAGTAGAACAAGAGCTCTGGGCTTGAATTCTGTGACTACCCTGTTTCTTAACTGCTATGTGACCTTAAGCAAGTAGCCTTTTTTGAGGTTCGGTTTCTTTTATATATAAAATGATGAAAATGTTACAGGGGTATAGTGATAATTCTTCAAGAGATGGGAATACCAGACCACCTTACCTGCCTCCTGAGAAATCTGTATGCAGGTCAAGAAGCAGCAGTTAGAACCAGAAATGGAACAACAGACTGGTTCCAAACTGGAAAAGGAGTATGTCACGGCTGTATATTGTCACCCTGCTTATATGTGGAATTCCAGGCTGGATGAAGCACAAGCTGGAATTAAGATTGCCACGAGAAATATCAATAACCTCAGATATGCAGATGACACCACTGTTATGGCAGAAAGCAAAGAAGAACTAAAGAGCCTCTTGATGAAAGTGAAAGAGGAGAGTGAAAAAGCTGGCTTAAAACTCAAGTTCAAAAAATGAAGATCATGGTATCCAGTCCTATCACTTTATGGCAAATAGATGGGGAAACAATGGAAACAGTGACAGATTTTATTTTCTTGTACTCCAAGATCACTGCCAATAGTGACTGTGGCCTTGAAATTAAAAGACAGTTGCTCTTTGGAAGAAAAGCTATGACCAATCTAGATAGCATGTTAAAAAGCAGAGGTGTTACTTTGCTGACAAAGGTCCATCTAGTCAAATCTATGGTTTTTCCAGTAGTCTTGTATAGATGTGAGAGCCGGACTATAGAGAAAGCTGAGTGCCAAAGAATTGATGCTTTTGAACTGTAGTGTTGGAGAAGACTCTTGAGAGCCCCTTGGACTGCAAGGAGATCCAACCAGTCAATCCTAATGGAAATCAGTCCTGAATATTCATTGGAAGGACTGATGCTGAAGCTGAAGCTCCAATACTTTGGCCACCTGATGCTGGAACTGACTCATTGGAAAAGATCCTGACACTGGGAAAAGATTGAAGGCAGGAGGAGAAGGGAATGACAGAGGATGAGATGGTTGGATGACATGACTGCCTCAATGGACGTGATTTGAGCAAGCTTCGGAAGTTGGTCATGGACAGGCAAGTCTAGCATGCTGCGGTCCATGGGGTCGCAAAGAGTTGGACATGACTGAAACAACTGAACTGAACTGATAGTGATGATAGTACAGTGCTATAAAAACATTTTGAAAACCTAGAGTGATATAAGGTTACTATATCATTAATAAAGGCCACAAATAAATTATACATATTTCTTTGAGAATGACAATTAAAATAATGATTACTTGGTTGGAAATTTGTTTTAGTAATTATAAGGAAACTATGAGAGTTATGAAACTTTTTAATTCTTGATTTTAGCTTTAATTTCGGTCTTGTTAGAGTAAGATAATGTATATAATATATGATTATTATGTTTTTTCCCGCCAGACTGACATCTACAGACACCATTCCTAAAAGCAAATTTCTTGCCCTGGGATCCAAATTCCGATACAGCGGCCGAACTCAGGCTCAGACCAGGCAAGCTAGTGCTCTGATTGACAGGCCTGCCCCACACTTTGAGCGCACAGCAAGCAAACGAGCATCCCGAAGCCTTGATGGAGGTTTGTACCGAGAATTAATGATTTCTTGTCATCCTGACTCTAATTTAGAGAGAGATAAAGGAAATGTGGTTATCAGATGTGATCGGGTACAAAGAAAGTACCGTTATCTATAAAAGAATCAAAGAATCTCAGTGGAAAATGAAAAGGATCTTCCTAATAGCATACTTTAGTGAAATCACCTTAAGAAAAGGAGAAGAAAGGTTCAGAGAGAGTAGTAGCTAGATCAGGGTCCCACTGCTAGGTAGTGGTGGGTTAAACACCACTAGAATTAGAATTCAAAATTCTCTGCCACAGGGCAAAACCTAATGTAAAATACTGCACTAAAACCCTCTTGGACATTCTTAAGTAGTTATTTTTCAAGTAGAAAAGAGGGAGAGGGTCTGCCTCATTCTATTGCTATGGAAATCATGGAAAAAGTTTAGAATGTTGTCATGTTTCAATTATAGACAGAAAAAACAATCGTATTATTGGAATCTCCAAATTTTGTTTAAATAAAAGGAGGAGGAAATAAATGTTTCATGATTGTATATATTGACAGAAGATCTGTTACAGTTTTTCTAAGTTTAGTCTTAAGGATTTTAGAGCATTAGCATTAATGAAATGAAGTAATAAGCCATATTCATTTTTTTTTTTCCTGGCCATGCTGCATAGCATGTGGGATCTTAGATCCCTGAGCAGAAATTGAACCTAGGCCCCAGCAATAAAAGCACCGAGTCCTAACCACTGAACATCCAGGGAATTCCCAAGCCATGTTCAGTTCTTTATGCCACTAAAAAGAGGTAGCTAATAAGTAAAAGTTCAGAAGGCAGTAAGCAAAATAGAGTATTGCTGATTGTAGCTCTGTGCTGTCCACTGTAAAAGCAAGATGCATGTTCTGGTAGTTAAAGGTTTGGGTTACAGAATCAGACCTGGTTCCCAGTCTCAGCCACTACATTTATGATCTGTCTTCTTGAATGAGTTACTTAATCTGTTTAAGTTTTCTCATTCATAAAATGGGTATGATGAGACTATAATATTACCTCGAATTTTCATGAGAAATAAATGAGATGATATGCTTAGCACAGTGGTTGGCACTTAATAATTGATACTAAACTATTAAGTATCATTGAGATATTGTTAATGTTCTGGCCACAGAATTATTATTTTGTTAATTATTATCCAGAACTATGCTGCTGTATTCTGGTTTGTTGCATTGTGGGAGCATATATCAGAAACACCTGACTCACTTTAAAGGAATCAGGAATGGGTTAGCTGCACTTGGAAATTATCCAAGCAGTAGAACTTTTGTTTCTGTACTGCACATCAAGTTTCTTTCTTTCTGGTGTTTCTCTACAAGGCAGATTGTAGTCTTTGATTTATTTATTCTTCATGATAACACTAAGAATTAAGTTCCATGGTGGCTCAGATGGTAAGGAATCCACCTGCAATGCAGGAGACCCAGGTTCGATCCCTGGGTCAGGAAGAGTCTCTGGAGAAGGAAATGGTAACCCACTCCAGTATTCTTGCCTGGAGAACTCCCCGGACAGGGGAACCTGGCAGGCTACAGTCTATGGGGTCACAAAGAGTTGGAGACAACTGAGTGAATAATACACACACACAGAAATTAAGCTCAGAGATTAAATGATTTTTCTTAAGATATGATAACAGGTAAGTGGGTTGGAGTACATGTTGGTTGTTGGATACTTAACTCATTTACTACTTTGTTCAACAATTTGTTGTACGTTTCTGTGTGTCAGGTATTATTCTAGTTTCTGGGGATACAGATGTGAACATACATGGTCCTGCTCTCATAGGACTTATTTTTTTTGGGGGGGGGGGCCTTATGTTTTATGGGTAGAAACAGAAATGAAACAAGTTCAGATAGTGATAAGTGCTGTAAAGAAAGCAAACCAGAGTAACGGGAGGGAGAGTGTCCGGGGATGGGGCAGTTGAGAAGCTGTTTCAGACTGAATTATTGTTCAGTTGCTCAATTGTGTCTAACTCTTTGTGACCCTGTGGACTGCAGCACGCCAGGCTTCCCTGTCCATCACCAGCTCCCGGAATTTACTCAAACTCATGTCCATTGAGTTGATGATGCCATCCAACCATCTCATCCTCTGTCGTACCCTTTTCCTCCTGCCCTCTATCTTTCCCAGCTTCAGGGTCTTTTCTAATGAGTCAGACTGAGTGGTCCAATCTAAATTCAGAAGTTTTCTCTGAGGAGCTTCATCTGAACTGAAACCTGAATTGTGAGGTTACATAAATAAATCTGGGGGAAGAACATTCTTGAAAAGAGAGTAGTGAGTATGAAGCCCTGGAGGTAGGAGTGATAGGTGTCTAGACCAGTGCCATGCCATAGAACTTTCTGTGAGGATGAAATTCTTCTATTTTGTGATGTCCAGTTTGATAGCCAATAGCCACCTGTGGCCATTGGGAACCTGAAATGTGGCTATGAAACTGAGAAACTCATTTTTAACTAAATTTAAATAGACACATGTGGCTAGAGCAAAGATCTACGCTACTCCAGGGGTAGAAAGGCAGAATAATGATGAAGTCTGTTGCTAGATTTGCATGAGATGGCAGCAGCTGAGACTTGAGTATTGTCATTAAAGATAGTGAAAATGGATCAGGGGTATAATTCAGAAGCCAGGCCTGACAGAATTACTGGTAAATTAAGTGTTGGAGATGGTAAGGAAAAAAAAATCAAGATTTTTTCCTAGGTTTGATCATTTAGTACAGTGGGAAAGTCTGAGAGAGGAGCAGAGTTGGACATGTTAAATTTAAGATATGAAGACTCAGTCCTCATGTCTGCCATATTCTTTTTTATTTTTTTATTTTATTTTTGGCTGCACTTGGTCTTCGTTGCTCTGCATGGGCTTTCTCCGCTTGTGGTGAGTGGGGGTTACTCTTCATTGCAGTGCACGGCCTTTTCATTGCAGTAGCTTCTCTTGTTGCTGAGCACAGGCTCTAGTTTCAAAGGCTTCAGTAGTTGTAGCATGCAGGCTCAGTAACCGTGGCACATGGCTTAGCTGCTCCGTGGCATGTGGAATCTTCCTGGACCAGGGATCAAACCCATGTCCCCTGCACTGGCGATTGGATTCTCAACCAGATTCTTCCCTTAACAAGGGGAGTCCTGCCATATTCTTATAACAACATAAGGCATCGCCTTCTTGACCAGTAAATCACCCTACTTCCAGTTTAGTTTTGGAGAGCTATCATTCCCATTATTTTATCCCCACTTTTCAGTGAGAAAACTATAATTGGAAAATTTAAGCAGCTTATTCAAGATCTCACAGATAGCTTAAACAAAACCCCACATCTGTCCAATACTGTATTCCATGGCGTTTTCCACTTAATGAAATTTCATTGTTATATAGATATTATGCCTGATGTATCTTTTCTTTCTAATAGCAAAATAACCAACAGTTCAAGGGTTATTGAGCTTTGGTACTTTGACCAAATTAGAAAGTTTTACTTAGAAAGGCTCTTCTATTACTTGTAGAAGTCATATGTTGACTGTTTTTCTTTTTCTGGCTGTAGAAACCTCATAGTTCAAGATTTTAAAAAAGCTTGATGTCTCTGTCTATTGACTAATATTGGCCAGTTCTTATTAAGTTATACACTGTATTCTTAAGGGGGAAGCCTGTAGGATATTATAGAAAAACCAGAATGAACTTTTTTGACCATAAAAAAGTTTTCACTCATATCCTGATGACTAATGAACTTAAGTACCTTTTCACAGTTTATAGCTACTTGTATATCATTATTTCTGAAGTGCCTGTTCAAATCTTCTGCTCATATTTTTATTGGGCTGCCTGTCTTATTAATTTGTGGGTGTTCTTTATATACTCTTGTCTTACTTTCAATCTCAGGGAGAAAGCATCAGTATTTCATCATTAAGTGTGATGTTTGCTCTGGGTTTACATAGCTACCTCTTGTCAGAGAAGGAAACTTCTGAGAGTTTTTATCATGAATAAATGGTGACTTTTTCAAATGCTTTTTCCTTCATTAGTTGATATAGTAATAGGATTTTTCTCCTTCTTTATGTTACATTATGGCTTCCACTGATTGACTTTCCATTGTTAAGCCTTCTTGGCATTCTTGAAGTAAACTCAATTTGATCATAGTATATTCTTCTTATGTCGGTTAAGGCTTTCTGCAATGATGTTCATGAGAGAGATAGACCTGTAATTTTCCTTTCTTGTAAATGTTGTCAGGTTTTAGTATCAAGTTTATGCTGCCCTCAAAGTAAATTGCGAAGTATCCCCTCTCTCTGCTCTCTGGAAAAGTTTGGATAAAATTGGTATTATTTCTTCCTTAATGTTTGGGAAGAATTCACCTATAAATTCTAGCCAGCTGGTTCTAAAGATTCCTTTGTGGCAGGGTTCTTTGCTTTCAGATTCAGTGTCTTTATGAGAAAGGACTATTAAGATGTTCTAGTTCTTGTTTCAGTTTTGGTAATTGTGCTTTTTCTAGAAAATGCCTGTTTCATCTAAATTTTCAAGTGTATTGCCATAGAGTTCTATTTTTTTAATATTTGTAAGATCTACAGCAATGTCCCCTTCTGTGTCCCTCATATTTTATGTTATACACCTATCCCTCTTTTTTTTTTTTTAACAAGCTTGTAACTGATCTGTTAATTTTATTAATCTTTCCAAAGAACCAGTTTTGGGTTTTGTTTTCTTCCTGTCATATATTTTTAATTTAACTTTTGCCAGCTAGTATTTTTATTATTTTTTTTTTACTTTTTTTTTGAACTGTTCTTTTTCTAATTTCTTAAAAGAATATCCATTGATGTTTATTATTTCTTACAACCTAACCTTAGAATTTAAGTGACTTGCCTAACATCACATAGTCAGTGACAGAGCTAGGAATATCTAAAACTGTTCTGCCAGTGCCATGTTTTTTATCCTTCACCAAGATAGCTTCTTTTCTGTAGAAGAGGAAGGATAAACGATGTCATTAGACAGTTCGTTGAGCACTTAGTATGCTCTAGGTACTGTTCTAAATATTTTATATAT